CTAACCAACAAAAAGTTTTTAATTGATCAATTTTTCAAAAAATAAAAAAGAAGAAAAGAAAAATGTTTCTTAACCCTAACCTTAACCCTAACTCACTGAACATCTCTCTGTGTAAACATCTCATTACTCTCCTGTTAATAGAGGTTTACTTTCTACTTGATCAGCTTCTATTTAGGTTTACTTTCTACTTGATCAGCTTCTATTTAGGTTTACTTTCTACTTGATCAGTTTCTATTTAGGTTTACTTTCTACTTGATCAGTTTCTATTTAGGTTTACTTTCTACTTGATCAGCTTCTATTTAGGTTTACTTTCTACTTGATCAGCTTCTATTTAGGTTTACTTTCTACTTGATCAGCTTCTATTTAGGTTTACTTTCTACTTGATCAGCTTCTATTTAGGTTTACTTTCTACTTGATCAGCTTCTATTTAGGTTTACTTTCTACTTGATCAGTTTCTACTTAGACTACAGTCTCTAACATTAACACACACAATGCTAACTTTGAACCTCATTTCAAAACAAAGTATTTTTTGTATTGTTATAAAGTAACCTATTCTCATTCTAGTAGTTCCTATTTTCTATTGTATCAAAGACGTTGATGTCAATTTGAATGTAGAGTTTATTATTTATCATTAATATTTAGTTTATTCTCTAATAATATAGTTCATTCTTTATTCTCTATAGTTAATCTATTGTTTCTACTTTGTAGTTGAACTCTAATTTATTCTTATTTTAAATAAGTAGCTTACTGTCAATTAGGTCTTTAAAAAACACAAAAAAACTTTGTATTGACTAGGGGAAACAGTTCCTGCTGACAAGGTACAACTTTATGCTGGAAATCCACTAGTTACTCTATTCCAGTCTACCAGTAGAGATGGACACTCTCCAATATGGCATCTTTCTAGACCAGATGGAGTCAAACTAATTCAAGGTCAAGGATCTGTGCCACAAGGCATTGCTCAATTTATTAAAGGGGAGATAATGCTTCCACAGGTACTTTAAAACCTTTTTTTTTTCAACACTATAAAAACTCATAAATCTAATTTTGTTTTTCTGTATAAAATTTAAACTATTATATATATAGATATATTTTTTATAACTTTGCATAATCAGGGCAGATCGCTTCTGAAAAACATATGAATGAAAATGTTGCTGAACTCTTTTTGCATTGGAATGTTTACTGTAGGAGAGATTCAAAACCATCTGGAATAACAAATTTTTTCCTCTACATTTTGTAGACCAAACCTCATACCTTGGAATCTTTCAGAGCAATTTGTTCATTCTAAATTCTAATCTTACAAAATATTCATTTATTATGTAGGTGTCATCAATAAATGGCTGGAAAGTGGAACTCCCTAATGGTGATGTCCAATCTGGCACAGGCCCCATTCCACAACATATACTTGATATTATCATGAAACACTACACTGTGTCCAATAGTATGGTGAGTTCAATTATTACTTGATAATGACAATAATATGTTAACACATTCTCTAAACTGAGGTCCTTTTTAAAGATATCTGAAATAAAAGAAGATATTTTGAAAGAAAATCTTTATAATAATAATGTATGAAGTTAACATTAGAAATACCTCTTGGTAATAAAATCATCCTCACTGCAGGCAGTGCACTGCAGAGTTTAAATTTCTGAATAATCTGTGCAGCTATGCTCCTTCATTTTAAATGAAATATTTTTTAATGACCTGCTATAGGTAATTTATATTTTCTCTAGTATTATGATAATAGAATTGTAACTAACATATCTTTACAAAGTTACCTGACCAGCTGGTACAAACAAGTGGACACCAATCACTAGGTGACACACAGAATTCCTTCTTCAGTCAAGGTTCCAATCTGAAGCAACAATGGGAGATTACTCTGCCTAATGGCAGTGTTCAACATGGTAGTGGACCATTGAGCTCTGATATACTGACTTTATTAGCTCAACAAAACTTAGACCCAACACGCTTTCAAGGTAAATAATTCACTACTAATTCAACATTGGTTAAGAATATCTTTAATTTGCTGACAATTCATTAATTGAATGATTGTGTAGACAGACCACTGACACCTAAAAGGTTCTTTTTTTTTTTATTTCCCAAACATCTCCACTACTAGTAGAGTGTAACTCTAAAATGTTGAAACTAATCAACAGAATCTTTCTTTGTTTTAATTCATCTAAAAATATAGGATACCTAAAAATAACAGGATAAATACTAATAACTGGCCATTAATATTTTATGGGCGATCCCCAAAAATGTGTTTTGCTTATTGTAACATGTACAAATCAATCACATAATAGAAAAACTATTGTGAAAATTAAGATGCAATAAAAAGAACATACACACATTTCCTTTTTTTTTTGGGGGGGGGGGGGGGGGATATTGATATTAAAAATGCAAATATTGTGAAAATTGATGGATCATGAAAAAAAAAAAAGCAAGTGTTATGCCATTTCCCTCCAGCTATTTGTGGCATGACATGTTGACAGATAGTTTCCCATTTAAACTTAATTAAGTCTTAGCAAAAAGAAAAACCACATTTTTGATTATTTAATTGGTTATTCTGAAGCATTGTTCACTGGTAACATAAAAAAAGCATTATAATAGAAATCTTTTCTTACAAATATTAAAACAGAAGAAGTCATTTGTGTATTTATATTCACATTTTTTTTAAAACCTTTATTGCTGGTAATCTGTTTGGTAATATTTCTTAGTTTATGTAGCCTACTGATATTTGTAATAATTTTATAGATAACATTAGAACTAGAAGAGCTGCAAAGACATTGGAAGTCATGGATGTACTGTCTAATTGTGCTTCATCCATTCAGTTGTTAACATCAGATAATGACATCATGATGACAGTTAAGACATCTAAATACACAAATGGTGTAAATGTTACATTGCCAATTGTAAGTTACACAAATTTACTTTTTATTATTATTATTTTCGATTTAAAAAAATAATAGTACATTGTTTTTGGAAGGATTTGTGGCATTGTTTATTTGAGGCAGTATTTATTATATAAGTTGTAACTATTGCCTTCAAAGTCAAACTTGACAGGCTTTGTTTATAGTTTTTAATGCATTATACTGAAAGTTTGTTTAGGCTTTGGGATAATATCTTTGTAGAAGTTTTTAATAAATTTATTAGCTTTTATATTCGCTTCTTATACTAATCATAAACTCATCTCACAAAGTTATAATTTATTTGATGATACCTAGTTGTTGCTAGATTTTCAAAAAGCACTAGATATATAAATAAACTACTCTATGGATAGATTTGATTAAAAAGCTTAAAGTTTTCCTTCTTGATTTTATGTTGTATTGTGCAGGTTAAAGTTCATTCAGATAATTAAAAAAGTTGCAAGCAACAAGTGCAATAGATGTCAGCTATTTATTTCTAGTAACTTCAAAATTTAAATTCTAGAACTAAAGGAGGATTTTTAAGTGTAGGATCTTCAGCTTAAATGCAAGCATCTTATAAATTTCATATAAAATGGGTGCCTGGTTGTATGATATGAATGCTGGACAGTCATTGAGGTCTTAAGGGTCATGGGTTCATACCCTGTCTGCTGCTATCTCCCATCGCCCTGTGGGAGGTTGGGGCTTGAATGTAGATTTAATTTTTAAGGGACATCTGAAACATGTAAAACATTTTACAAATGTTTTAAAAATTACAAGCATCTTTTGTTGTTCCTACAAGCTGATCAATAGTTTTACTCTTTAAGAATGTTTCTCTCTCAATCTAGCATGATGGCATGAATGATGTGTGGTTAAAATATGATGGCCAACATCTAACTGGAATCGTCAATGGATTTGTTATGAAAAAACCTTTATCAGGTTAGTTGTGAAGAAGACTTGATTATTAAGATGTTGATTGTATGTAATGATATCCTGGAATCATAATTGTTTGCATGTAATGATACCCCACAATAAAATTTGTTTTTAGGTAAGGCTATTCTGAAATGAAGGTTGTTTGATACAATAGAATAATTGTGTTCTGAAATGAATTATTTTTTGTAAATGCTATCCTGAAATGAAAATTGTTTGTTTGTTCTAGGAACTGTTCTTATTGTTTGTATGTTTTAGGAACTATTCTTAGTTCACCACAGCCATTGACTATTGGCCACTGTCCAGGTAGAGAAGGAAATCAATTTGTTGGAGAAATAGATCTGGTAGGTGCTACACTATTGATATGTTAAGCTGTACTCTTTCAGAAATGGTCAAGTTAATGTCTTAATGTTTACATATAGTCATCATCATTTCCCAGGACTGATAATATGATACCATCAACTACTAAAAACTTGTCCTCCCCCCCCCCCCCCCCCCCCCCCCCTTCACTGTTCTATCTAGTGATGTAAAAGTCAACTGATACAGGAGAAGCAGACTTTCCTACAATATTTATTTATCAGTCTCATTGATTTGTTTTTGAGGGTGGGTGGCTCTCTTTTTCTTTGAAAGTATAATCTTGTGTTTTTTCTGAAATGCCAGCCATATATTGAGTTTCTACTTACAACTTTTCTGTTCTGTCTTAAAAGAATGAAACATTTATCAAACTCACTTCATAGTGGAAATAAAAATGTTTAGATCCTAAAATATAAATGTGAGTTGTATGACAGTCATGTTTTAAACAAAACCCAGAAATGACTGATAGTTAAAAATCTATAAATATTATATTTGTTTGTTATAATTGCTAAATTATATGTACAAATTTATAATCTATAAAATAATGTTGTTAAGTTTTTATGATATGATTGTTTGTTTTTTTCAGTTGGAGATGCATCATTGTTTGCCTTGAGTTAGAAATGCTCAATAAAAAAAAAATATACTAGTTTGGTATATTTCCAAAATATACATGCCAGTGCTAACCATTTTTAACAACCTAATGACTGACTAATTAAAATCAATGTCTATAACAATGTCTAGAGTTCTATTGAATTGAAGGATTTAAATAAAATACCAAACAAGCCATAAGTTGAAATAAAAAGCCAAGGTCAAGATGTTTAACAAATGTTTCTTTTTAATAGTGTCACTCAGTATGCCTTAGTACTATTGTGTTCTACTGTAACATGCAAAGTACATGACATTCCTTACTTCAGCATCTGGATCAGTTCATGTTTAACCACAGACTAATTGATATACACTACTGGAACCCAATGATATGTTGTAATAGAAATTATAAGAGACAATTAATTAATAACAACTACTACATTTAGACTGCTATTATAATCAGATTGCTACCTTCTAAATGTAATGCAAATGTTTGCTGATAAAGTGAATCAAAACATGATGGCGAAGTTTACATGACAATAGAAACAAAATCTCTGTTCTTTTAAGAGATTAGTTCAATGGTGAACTAAAGCAAAAAAAAAAAGGATTTCTTTACATTTTTAGCAGTTATTTAAATTCTTTGAAAACGTCTTAAATTTAAGTTACAATAATACTGTAAGATAATACTGGCAGTTAGAAACATAAAAAATAAATAGCACCACAGTTTAATATATAATTAAATATAAATAATTTTCTGACAAAAGCTTTATACAATATCATACCTTTATAAGCATTCACCTCACTGGCAGCATAAAAATAGAGAGCTATATTGACAACTCAAACTGACAGCGTATTTTTGTTGTTTTTTTTTCTTAAATGGACAACAGTTTAAAAAAATAGTTTGAATACAAAACAACATTTTTAATGCACTTTTAGAGTTATGGCATGAAAATTTTACTTTTTTGTTCACAAGACTATAATTGAATTAAATACAATCATGATTCATATTTAAATAGTTTTGTTTCATTATGTAACTACAATCATACTAAAGTACTATCACAACAATATACACTTTTGTTATTGCTGAATTATTTAAGAAACATTTTCTCTTAATCAAATGTATGCTTACATTTTTAACAGCTGAGAAAAATGATTCAAGTAGAATACATCTCAAAGTGAATACACAAAATAACATTATACTTTAGAACAATAAAAGACTTTTTAGTCCATTCTGTCCTCCAGTGATTTTTTATTATATTGTCCTTAAGTGTTCATTTCCAATCTACTTAGTAAAGCTAGCTTTTAGGATTTGTAAATGGTACTTCAAATTTAAATATGAATTTGTGTTCTAAACAAAAGATAGTAATTTCTCATTGAGTATTACCAATTGCGATAAAAGCACATAAAATTGTATTACATCTTATCAATATCTTATCTCTACATTTATATGCTTTTTGTTACCTGCCAATTATATGCAGTTTAGGGACACACAGCATACAAACCCACACCAACACACTAGACATTATTGTTTTTTTTAAATACATTTTGACTTCATTTATTTGAATATAAATATTATGTTCAAATTAAGATCAGAATATCCCAACTAAAAACCAGGATACAATAAAACAATTGACAATCATTGTTATTCCTTTCTATAAAACTAACACACATAGAGAGTAAATACAAGAACATACATAAATACACACAAAAAAAATCTTACAACTTTTTGAAATAACATGTTCCCATCTTTAGTCAAATAAAAATTGCTAAGATAACAACTCCAGGCAAAATATTCAGCTGAATATACATCTTCAGAGTAAATCTAATGGACCAAAATAATATATAAAATAAAATATAGAGATATAGAATTAGTGCAACTGGGATAAAAGGCACTACTTGTTAGAATTGAAACCAAAACTCCACTACGTAAGCATTTATGCAAAAAGAAAAAAAGCACCAGCAGTCAAATTTTTGTTTGTCGAAAGGTCGAAAAATGCATAAATAAAAGTTTGCGCAGTGGCAGATTTGTTTGTTCACAGTTTAATTGTCACATTGTTGGATTAAAACAAATTCAATGTTATCTTTTTTTATAAATTAATAAAAACATAAATTGTATTTGGTAAGTTAAGATTGGTCATACCATTATTTCCATGGTTTATGAGCTCAAATGTTACAGATCCATAAGTAAATCAAAAATAGTATATAATGCAGGTAAATGAAAGCAATGTCTACAAATCAAGCTAAATACAAATGTACACAATCACATGGCAATCAGCTTATCACTTTCATTTCCAACTTTAAGACAACATTTTTCTTTCCAAGGTCATTCTCTAATATGGACAGGTCTGGTTCAGACTGAAACATTTTATCCACCAGGACTTGAGTGTACACAGCATCAGCAGAGGCACATTTTCTGAGTCGATCTACTCTCTTGTGCCGAGTTTCAAAATAAGAGAGAAGCTCATGAAAACTGTGTGGTCTGATGTTATCTGTTTCAGTTTGAATTTTACGATTGCTGGGGCGAACTCTTCGGACAACAGGAGTTGTTTCTGATACTTTAGACACAACACCTTCCACATTGACTGTTTTGAAGATCTTGGAAATAATTTTGGGTGATCCTATGCTAGCTGTTTCTGTAGACTCTATGGCTCTGTCAGGGTCAGATAATAATCTTTTCCATGGATGTTGTGGGGGCTTATTAATAGGGGATGATGGAGATGATGTCCCTGAACTATGACCTTTACTCTCTGGATCTGTCAATTTTCTTTCTAATGAAGACACTGTAGTGGTTCTCATCAATGGAGACTTTTCTGATACAGTTAAACTGATAGGCTTAGCTATTTGATTCCCTGACAACTGAACTTGTAAGATAGACTTTGTATCTTCATTCTTAGCACTGGCAGCTTTCTCCAGCCCATCATTAGAAGTGCACAGATCTGGGGCACTACGTGTTCCCAGACGTTTCTTCATTTTATCTCCCCCCTCCTCACCAGCACTGAACTTGTCTAACATCAGAGCTACTCCTAATCCAAGTTTTCTTTTGGATCTTTGACCACCCCCTTGGCTGCCTTCAGAGTCTGCATTGAGAGAATGCTGAAGTTTGGGTGGTGCTCCATCAAATACTGGTGGGGTGAGGTTGATGCTGGCAGTTGAAGCTGTAGAGGAAGTCACCGTCACACCACTGCTGCCACTGCTGTCATTGTTTGTATTGAGTTTAAGATTGACATTAACCCGCTGGAGCTCTTGTTTAGATGGAGGAAATATTTGAGATTTGATTGGATTATTTATTAATTCTGGACGATTGACTGGCTTGGCTGCAGTAGGTGGGGGAATCTTCTTCTGAGTTGCAGGGGACAGAACTGTCAGAGAAACAGAGTTTTGATCAGAATCCTGACGTTTACTATCTGGAAGCTGAGCCATTGCTTTGACTTTGTGCAGTTGCTCTTTTGGAAGAATTAGTATTGCACCATCTGATGAAACATCTTGGAAAGACGAAGAGTTGCTTTGCTTTTTGTCTAAGTCGAGACCGTTGTTGTAAATTATTTTCCTAGTCACTTTAGGTGAAGGTTGAGGTGAAGGTATTATTTTTTCATTACTTCCCCTGCGTATTGCCCTATCGTCTTGAATAATTTTGTTATCTCTAACAGGCCTGACTCTACTGCGCTGACCTTTGGAGACAGCCTGTTGTGTACATGTGCTGTTAGTCAAGGCACTGTTTGACATACTTGCAGCTATCATACTGTCACCAGAACTTGATTCTTCTAATTTTGAATCTGCTACCTCTGAATTTCCAGACTGTAACTCTGGAACAGATTTAGATCTTGTTGTCTTAATAGTTAGATCTGATTCCCCGGTTTCTTGTAGTTTAGATATTGTTGTCTTAATATTTTGATCCGATTCCCCAGTTTCTTGTAATTTAGATCTAAATCTACCAAATTTAGGTTTAACTTCCTGCGACTTGTTAGTTTTGCTTGCAGTGGACTCATTGTAAGTATCCTGTACTCCAGAAATAGATTTGGGAGTTACACTTGATTGTGAAGACTCTCCAGGCTTTAAAAATATTTTAAAGGTCTGCTTTTGTGTTTCTGGAGCCGTGTTGTCTGCTCTGTTCTTGGAAAACAAGTCTGTTGTCTGATTAACTTCATCAACAATAGCTTGGAAAGACTTTGATAAAATGTCGAATTCCGATTCTGTGTCTTTATCTAATTGTTTGTTTCTGTTGTCTAGTCCAGGAATATAGAAAGAAGAGATTCTTGTTTGCATTGGTTTGAGATGTTCAGACTTGGGTTGGGGTGCCAGAAAGCAGTCGCTAGATTTAGTGGGTCGATAGGGTTTATAGTTTCCTCTTTCTTTTACAGAGGCCATTTCTTCGTTACTTATTTCTAAACTCTTGTAAATTCTATCAAGTTCCGATAAAGCATCTGAGAGTTTAGACTTTTTGTTTGTGTAATAATCTTCAAAAGAACTTACATCCTCTTCTCCAGTCTTCACTTCAGGGGTTAATTTTTTCAAAGAGCTTAAAATGTTATCAAGACTTTTTTCATCAGCGCTCTGAAGCTTGGCTTTAATAATGTTAATCCTTTTCTCCACTGTCTGGGCTAAGTCTTTCAAATCATCCATGGATTCATTGACTTTCTGTAAGGTGTTTGATGTTGTGCTTGCTAATGATGGCTCTGTGGAAGACATCCGTTCTGTTGTACTGGGTTGATAGGATTTGTATTCCAATGCAGGGGGTTGATAAGACCATCCAGTAGATTTAGTTTGAGGGCCCCTGGTTGTATCAAAACCTGAGCTTTTAAATGATTCCAGAGTGGAAGTGCCATACAATGATTCTGGCCCTGGCTGATAGGATGTACTGAATGGTTCTAGAGCTTTTTGAATCTCATCCAGTGCGCTAGAGCCTTTAGGAATAAATGATTTGATCGGTGCATTACTCTCTATCGGTTTCGGTATATAGGTTGGTGCAGAGTCATGAAACTGTGTGTTGGCTGGATAAGTTGTTCCATTATAAGATGACCTAGCAATGTCTGAGCTATTGCGGTAAGTTGCTGATGGAACGCTATCCTCTGTGTCTGTCTCAACAACTAGGCCAGTGCTAAGTAGTTTTTGTTTCAACAAGTCTGGATCAAGCTGGTAGTTGTTATTGTTGGCCCCTGGTAACATCTGAGACTGGCGGTTAGGCTGAGAGCCTCCGTTTTGTTGATTTTGTTGCCTTTGTTGTTGATAAAACTGTAAAGGTTGCTTTGACACAGATACTTGCTCTGTTTTAATCTGGTTGAAACTGTTTACATCAAAGGCTTTAGTTGCAGGCTCGTTGTTAGGTTTCACAAAGCCATGTTGACTTGTTCCTAGCTTATAGCCTGATTGATTCCCTTCAGTGTAAACTGAAGCAAGCGGTGCAGCCTTAGTGGACTCTGTCTCAAACGCTCTTTTCTTGGGGCTTAACTGTTTCCTCTCAATGGAAGATCTGCTTATGTCATCTAGTACATCGTCTAAGGCGCTGATAGTGCTAGACATTTTGTCCACATTGATGGTTAGAGGAGCGATGTTGGGTGTGTACAAAGACTTGGATCTATGCATTCGGTCCTTGGACAAGATATTACTTCTGGGCTGGTTGGGTAAAGTAGAACTGTGCGGTGGAATCAGTTCCACTTGATATTGGGATTTGACTTGTTCTATTGAAAGGCTTCTGTCTTGGGCGTTACCTGAACTTAAATGACCAGCCATAGTACTAGGGTCAAAGGTTGTCATTTCCTCAATTTCCTTCCAGAAAGGATCTTCTGAAAAAGGTATCGTCTGCAGAGTTCTGGCGGTTACACGTTCAATACTGACTGGTACTCCTTGAGTACTTTCAAGATTAGGAGACC